CGAGGGCAGTGGGGTGGAGATCCTGGCCAACCGGCCCTACAGCGACGGCCCCGGCGGCAGCGGCCAGTACACCCACAAGATCTACCACGTGGGCTCCCACATCCCCAGCTGGTTTCGGGCGCTGCTCCCCAAGGCCGCGTTGCAGGTGGAAGAGGAGTCCTGGAACGCCTACCCCTACACCCGCACCAGGTGGGACCCGGCGGGGCCGCGGGGTGGGCTGCGGGGCCGGCCGTGCCTCCGGGCTCAGCCCCGTCCCTGCGCCTCCCCCAGGTACACCTGCCCCTTCGTGGAGAAGTTCTCCATCGAGATTGAGACGTACTACCGGCCGGACGCGGGCCAGCAGACCAACGTCTTCAACCTGAGCGCGGCTGAGAGGGCCGCCGCAAGGCTGGCTCGCGGTGCCGGGCAGGGCCCGAAGCCCGGCGGCCCCCCCCGCCGTGAGGCCAGCGCGGGGTCCCGCACGCCCCGCGAGCCCCGCGCACCCTGCCCCCTCGCGACCTCGGGGTGCCGGGCAGGACCCGATGCCTGCCGGGCTTCCCCCACGGCGCTCCCCGGGCTGGGTGCATGGGTGTGCCACGGCGCCCGAGGGGCTCAGCTTCCCTGCCGGCTTGCGGGGGGGCTCGGTGTCTGCAACGCGCTCGGCTTTGCTCTCCCTCGCGTTTTGGGGACAGCTGTGGGGGGACCCTGGCAGGGGAAGGCGCCTGTGCCCCGAGCTCCCTGCCCTGAGCTTCCTGCCCGCTCCCTCGGCAGCGCTGCTAAACTGGAGTCCGCATTAAAGGTGTTTTGGGGTGCGATTTCCTCCTCTGCCTCCTTCCCTTGCTTGCATATTTGTTTGCAGCCCTCCCCTTCCTGGTGCCAGCTTGCTCCCCTCTCCTTCCGTGTCCCAGCCCCTGTCCCCACGCGGTCTGGCACGGCTTTGCCTTCCCGGCCCCTCTCCGGCTGTGCGTGGAACCCGCACCAGGCTCCTGCAGGGTGTTTTAGGTCAGCTGGAGAGGGGGGGGGCTGGAAAAGAGTGTCCCCATTTTCCCACCCCCTGCCCTGCTTCTCCTGCTCCCTAAGGCTTTGCTCCAGATCGCTCTCCGGGTCCGGGCCCCTCCGCTGCTTTGCCGGGGGGACCGGCGGGCAGAGCTGGGAGCCCGGGCTGGGATTCCTCCCTCGCCGGCGGGTTTGGCCCAGGCCGCTGCGGCCTCCCTTTCCCGGTGGTGTTGATCTGGTCGTTTTAGGCACTGGAGTGCAGAGCGTGACGCGCTGCCTCTTAAAATGGAGGCCTAAAATAGGCACTCGGAGGAAATGATTCATCTGACCTACTTCTCTCATTGGCTCTTGCGGCACCGGGGACGTCCGGCCGGGATGCTGGGACGTTCGGCCGGGGGTGTGGAATTCTGCCCCTCCCCCCACCAGGCAGCGACCGGGGCCAAGCGGACAGCAGGCAGGGCACGGCCCTGTGCCCGCTGCCTGCTGCCCTGCCTGGATTTTTTTTTTTCCTCCCCTCCCGGTGCCCGTCCCGTGGGTTTTCCGCAGGGCACGCCGTGTCTCGGGTGGCTGCTGCCTCCCACGGGGAGCAGGGCCGAGGTGGGACCGGCCCCGAGGTGGACCCCGCTGGGATTTTCTTTGCCAGCTCTTGCTCTCACCCCGGTGCCCCGTAGCACTGACAGATTTAAACCCCAGCAGAGCAAACCGGTCGCGATCTGGGCTGCCGGGGTGAACAGCGGGGATAACTGCCTCCTCGCCAGTTTTCTCGCAGCCGTAAAAGCACACAGACCCGCCAGCCGTCGTGCGAGTGACGCTGCCGGGAGCTGCCCCGGGCCC